GTCTTCACAGTAGATGAAAGACAAGGAAAGCAATTTCTAACAGAAATACTCACTGTAAGGCCAGAATACAGAACTTCTGCAGCAGTTACACTTCAACTTCACTGTTTGCACTGAGTGATTGTACTGGTTATTTATCTTTTTAGCTTATATTGACTGTTCTTATGAATAGAAGACTAGAAGAATTAGTTCAAGTTAGAAACAAAAATGGAACTCAATCAACAGAGCTCTGTCACAGAAACAAATATTAACAGCTACCAACAAAATCACTTAAACTTTTAAAATACTAAATAGCTATATTAGAATCAATAAAACTATTAATTGCATCACCTTACTTGAAATATACTTCAATTTTGTTTTATTTAGAGGAAGTTGCTCTTGAAAAATTGCAAGTATTTTAATAGAGAGACTTTCTTAGATGTCTGGGAACGGACAAAGTGCTTAATTATATCACTCATTTATCTCCTGTTGTCCTATTTTGCATTCAGGGCAGGTCTAGTAACTTCATGTCTTAGAGATGAAACCACATAATTATTTACATTAAACAAGAGCATGAAAGGCTGAGTCAAAGCTACATATGGAGACAACATAGTGCAAGAGTATTATTAGATGCCATTTCTGTCAAGATGGTCTCTTTCTTCCAAGTTACCCTTTGCCCAGAAGAAAGGCGTTTATGACAAGGGACAGTTAGAAACAGAGTCCTTTGAAGCCAGTAGCCCCTGAAAGGTAGTAAATAGAAAGTTTCAAAAGAATACAGTATAACAAATAAATATGATTGAACAAAACATCTGTTAAGCCTCAAAAGCATCAAATTTATCATTCTGTCACAGGAAGGATTTACTGCAGAAGGATTTAATTGTGCAACAGATGCTTTAAAGAAGGCAAAAAGCCTTAATGGAATTTAACGTGAAAGAATAAAATCATAAAGAAGGACAAAGTAATGTAAAACTTCCCAAGCTCTAACTGTACTTTGCTTCTAATACAATTGGTCCAGAATGCTTTAAAAAACCCCACAATCTGTAGAATTAATACTAATATGCACATAAATCAATAGGACTAGGTCAAGTCTGCCTTTCCTTACTGCATGAACGAACATGAAATAGGAAGCAAGGAGTAAATCTCTCTGTAGTTCATTTTATAAAATGGCATTGACACATGACCATTCAATGCCATTTTATGAAGGTGACTGGAGAAGGTGAAGGGGAAGAATGAAAAAAAAAGAATAAAATCTACAATAGAGAAAAGGGGAAGAGATTTCAGAGTATAATAAAGTATTTTAAGTTCACTATACATGCTAGATGTAGTGCCCTGAAGCAGCACCTCCAAATAGTTATGTTTTGCTAGAACAGCAAATAAATAAATAAAATCTGTAAATAAAACAAAAATAGAAGTAAAGAGAACTTCACATTCTAAATGGCATTCGCAGATCAGTTTTTATTTTAAAATACGCAGAGTTCTCACTAAGGCTGTGAACAACAGGAATGTTTCTGTGATATAACAAGCAAATAAGTTAATTAACTTAAAACAGATTAAACATGGGTTAAAGGAAATGAAAAAATCTCCATGACACAATGGCTTAAATCTCTGTATTCATGTACTAGTCCAGTAAAATAAAATCCAAAAGTGATATTGATTATGAACAATGAGGAATGAAACTGAACATTATGATATTATTGGACATGTAAAAATAAAATTTAAAGTACTATACAGTTAAAGACATAGAAAGATACAAAAATGTAGTCCTGTTAACAGCATGTGTTGTCAAAGTTGGTTACATTAGGCTCCCACACAAAATAAACTGCAGCAATTATTCATTTTACATACAAATAGGCTCGTGCTTTCAGCTCCCCTTTAACTATGTAAGCATTTTATATGAAGTTGCTTTCAAAGCATTACTTCTCATCTGAAGTTAGCTCACAGTATTTCAAGTAATTATCTGAAAATGATTTAATGCTCAGAGTTCAGAAGTTTCAATTTCTCCATCACTCAGTTTTATCACTATTTTTTCCACAAGTTCCATTACTTCTAAATATTTAAAATCTTTTTAGGTGTTTTACAGTCTCATTGATACAGAAGAGATAAACAGTCTTCCAAAGTTCGTAAGACCCTTGAAGATGCCTAAGTATCTTGCCTCCATATCCAGACAAAACCAGTAAACAATAAATAGGGTTGTACAAGACACTGTTGCTAATTTTGTGAGTTGCACACCTATGGTGTTAGGTGGTGATGAACTCATAGTGCTCTACTTTCTCCTTCTCATAGGGCTTCACTGCCTGTGTTCCTCATGTGGCTCCCTAGTGAGAAAACATATTCTAGCTCATGCACAGAGTTTTTATGTACGTTTGACCACAGTCAAAACTTCATCTGCTTGAAGTTAGAAATCAAGCAGGGGGAGGGGGGGTAAAAAAAAATGCTACTGCCTCTGTTTTTATCCAGTCAGTTTCCTTCCAGCTACATCACAGCCAACATAATTTTAACAGGAGTCCACAGCTGTTTAAAATCAGCAGAGACTACTTTCTAGGTACAACATACTTTCTTCTAATGGAAGAAAAGGACCTTTTACCATTTTACAGCAAATGCTGTACGCTAAGTTCTATGCTTCCCAAAATATTTGCTTTGTTTTGATACATACATATTTGTATGTACATATCTAGCATATACATACAAATACCTATCTATGTCTCACTGACAGCCTGTTCCCTCTGCACCAGAGCCAAATAGCATCAGGGGAAAAAATAGAAGATAAAGGTGGCTAGTAGCAGGCTGCCACTGCTATTTTTCTCTTGGTCTTCCTCTCTCCTAGCAAGCTTCTTGGACCCAGCCAGGAGCATACAGCCGACTGGATAAATTGCACTGGTGGTGACAGTTCAACCGTGGCCACCATCTTCTCAAGGACCTCCGTCTTCTAGTCACAGGCTTATTATGTTGTGGAACTGGCTGGAAAAATGCATTCAGGACCAGTTATAAGATGATGGCTGGAATTTTACCCAAAATGAATTTATATCTCTAAAGGGAAAAACAAAAGCCTAACCACCAATTCTCAGCAGCTTAGCTGTATATTTTTTGGAATAAAATTTGGTAGAAGACGTACTTGGCAATACTGCCTTTAACACTTCCCCTGTTGTTAGATTACACATTGCTGTCAGCGTGAGGAATGTAATCAAAGAATCCTGCTATTCAAAAATCCTTCTCCCATTTCATAATTAGACAAACAGTGAAGGAACACAGCACAGTTCACTTCTACTGTAGTAGCCTAGCACCTTTTATTTGTGATACCATTTTATTTTGTAGTTCAGGATCAAAATTATGTAGTAATCTTTTTCTTGTCCTAAAACTTTGTTGATGATCATGTGAAAGAAAATAGTGTAAAACTGCATAATGAAGTACTTCCCCAATACATAAGACAGAATTAAAATTATGATTTTTCTTTAAAACTTTGGAATATTTAAGTATTAAAAGATACAATGAACTCCTCAGCTCTTTATACCCCAGAGTCTTGCTGTTTATAAAAAAAAAAAGCCATATTCAGTTAAACCCAAGGATCAACTTGCTTTTTAAATATACTTGACTTATACCAAAATTAATGCCAAATTCTTTCAGCTTGACACAAGTGATTTTAAAAAGTACTACAAAATCCATACCATGCACTACATGCTATGAAGTGGGCAATGAACTGTTCATAAATTAGCTATTCCCACATAAGACTTTACAACAGTGAATACTTAAGAGATTATCAAGACCATTACAATTTCCAGTTACTCTGAGTTTGTTCTTGGTGTGATGCTCCTATTTTACAATTTTAAACAGAACAAAAATATTAGCTTAAATTACATTTTAAAGAGGAATGTGACTTTATTACAGTTTTAGCGAAGTTCAGTCAGCTAGTCTAATTCCCCTTTCTCTCCCAAGCTGTTTTGATCTCTTAGTCAAAAAAAATTGAGATTAGAATTTTTTAAACCTACTATATCATTGAACAGATGTTAATTAACACGAAATATTCATCTTGTTTCAGATGATTGGTAAGCATAGTTACTAAATTTTAATGTTAAAAAAAGAAAAAGCATATGCCACATAAATAATGCATGAAAAATGGCAAGCTTGTTTTTCCACCTGTTACTCCATTACTAATATATATGAAAACTGCTGCAGGCATTTATTTTTTTACCCAAACATACAAAACCACAATATATTAAGATATGTTTGTCAGAGACTGATCTTTCATAGGGCCTTGAAAGCCTTACATACAATAGCTTTTCATACTTGAGCTGCAATGGTGTTAAACAAGTGACTTGTAATCCTTACACAAGTCAGGTCCAAAGAAAATAAGTTACAACCACAAGCCCGAACTTGCCTGTATGAAGCCCTGCTGGTTTTAGGCAGATTAGTTAGGGAAGATCATACAACAGAGCTGATCTCTGTTTTTCAGCAGGACTGGAACAAACAAATCATGCTAAGCAGCAATAACTGAAGTTCTTTATGGGTTTCCAGTACTAGAGAGGATAAATATTTAAGTTATTATTATAAATGCTGCATGCTAGTCAATAAAATGCAAGGAATCACTGCAGGTTTTATTACAGCGTTTTGGAACTGCCATTGAGTTTCCCAGTCTTAGCAACGTCCAAAAAAAAAATCCACACCCAAACTGAGCTGAAAGTTTTGATAAAAGTCTTTTTCTCAGAAGTCCAAGACAGCTGGTTCCACACCCCCACCCCCCTTAGGAACATTAATGACATCTACAACTGATACTGGGTTTTGTTTGTTTAGAAATAATTCATCAATAAGAGCTGACTGTACGTACAAAATATAGTTAGACCTTCGGTTAAAGGATTTACAAGCTAATTACATATATGAGGTCATTTTCTTCGCAATGTCGTCATTTACTTTCCATTTTCCATTTATTTCTCTCACTGAGAAGACAAGTAAGTATATTTTCTCTACACAGGCTCTCAGGCTTATTTCTTTGCCAACAGACATACCTGGGGGTGGCAGTGAAGAAAAACTATGATTGCTAAGCATCAGCTGAGAGAGAACGGCCTCCTGCCTGCTGTACTAGCCCCAGCACCTTGTGATCATACTATGTTTGGGTAAGTTCAAAGAGCTGCCAGGGAATACACACCTGCTGTGCACACAGAATGCCAGTTCTCACACTTCAGAATTACTCTTCTCTAGACAGACACTAGCCACAGTGTCCAGAAAACATTGCGTGTACACACAGGTGGAGTTCAGGGCATCCTTTCCAGGGTTTCCACTGCAAGATGAAAGGTGTCTTTGCTACCTGTAAGACTCACATGAAATTTAACTGTTCCAATATAGTCAGAAAAATCTTTAAGGGTGCCCTTCATGGTATTTTCACTATTTTCTCAGGCCTTTGAGGCATAGCATGAAGATATCAATTAAGTACACACTCACTGTAGGTGTTTTGAATATCTAATTTTTCCCTCGAGGGTGTGGTCACATGTATCATTATGGATGTTCTGTGCTAAACTCCAGAGTCATCGTACACAAGTAGATGTGCTTACAGTAGCAGGGGCAAACACACGCACTGGTGTCATAACTATAACACTAACACTATAACGATGCATCACAAGGAACAGTACTGCCAATGCTACCTATGAACTGTTAAGTTAACCACCATGAGAAATTCAGGGCTATATACTGTAAGAGTGTTATGGCTGTATCTTATCACTGGCTAAAATCAAGAGAATCAGTTTCAGTTTACAGGTTGCTGTAAGGAAAAAAAAAGGGAAGAAAATACTGAAATTGACTCAGAAATATGACCAATTATCCAGAATTTGATCTGAAAAAATAACTGGAAAAATATTACTAAAGTCCTATGAATACCTGTCTTCTTTTCTTCCCCTGGTGCTTGTATTCTGCAACATCAGTGCCCTGCAATTGTTCCCAAAGAGCCTTGTGTATTTTCATATTCTATTCCTCTCTTCAGCCATTTCTAGAACCAGAAAATTTGCACCTTATCTGGAAGTCTTCATAACAGAAGTTACAACAACATGATTGTATATAGAACAAACTTTTTTTGGGGGGTAGTCTTATAAGAACAAGCTGCAATATCCATTTTTAAGCATTTACATTCTTTATGTTTAATAACAAACCCACCTCTTGTTCACTCCATTTCTTGGTAGGATCATTTCTGTCTTATATTTTAGCAGAGAAAGATTACAGAACTTAACAACAACCACCACCAAAAGATCTTAAGCTAACAACTGTTTGTTCAGCTTCATTGTATGATGCCACCTGATCACTCATTGTCCAGGACATGTTTTGCAGCAACCTTCTTCACTGATTATTTATTGCTTTGTGATTTTTGTTTGTTTGTTAATAATGGTTCTGGATATCAACATAGTAACAGGTTTCTCTTGCCCTTCTTTTTGGTTTATTAATAGCACAGTGCCAAGTATTCTCCACCGTTCATGAACACTGACTTGCAGGAGCTTCTACCTGGCCATTGGCAGGGCACATGCTCATGAATATCTGAATAGTTAAACTGATTTATAAATCGGTGAATATATACAGCTTCCAATAGCTCTGCAATAGATGGTCAGGCAAATTATTAGATGTGGACTTAAGTTGTTCATATTTAAGAATTTAAGACTGAAGTTTTCCTCTCTTCCAGCAGACTTTTATTGAAAGTTTACATGCAGAATACTGAACATCAAAATCCACAGTACTGATTCTAGAGAAAGAGAAGTTTGTCAGTATGATTGTTTGGCTCGCTTTACCCTTATAAATGACCTTGAAAAGTAGAACTATGAATAGCAGGAAGTTTCCACTAATACTGTTTTCATCAGTAGAAATGTATCTAGAAAGGCTGGCTCATCTCCTTTTAGCCTTCTTACAGCAGATTGGAGGTCTATGTAGCACAAACCCAGAATGTTATTATAAAATTAGAAGATACAAAACCTCACTCCTGAAAAAAAACCACATGACTACTTTGTATTTCCTTTTCAAGACAGCTCTGGGTGTACTTCCCTTTTATAAGAATGGAGTGGCTACTTCCAATGCCATTTCATTAAAAATATAGTAGAAGAGCATTTTACTAATGCTCCATAGGAAAAGCTGGCCTGATACACTAACTACTTAAACTGCAGCCTCTAAGCTAGTTTCCCAGAAGTTTCTACCAGATGAGGTGCTAAAGGGGTTCTGTAGTTGCTGGCACACTTCACTTGCCTTTCCCTCCAACGTAATCTATTCCAAAAGCAGAACATTTATACTATCGAAGAGATGACACTGATGCAGTAAGTAAGATGGGACAAGATGACAGATCTCTTTTCTTTAGTTTAAATGAGCCAGTGAAGGGAAGGGTGCTAGGTATCATCTTTCTAAGACAAGTGAAATAAGATTCCAGCTGAAAGGGTCAGTTTATATGCTAAAGTAAGTCAACAACTCCGCCTCCCCCCCCCCCCCCTCTCTCCCTCTTTCTTTTTTTTTTTTTCTTTCTTTTTCTGCTTGGCTTTCTCAATAGTGAGAGTGACACTGAAGTGCTGTATCACAGAAGCAGCAAGAGAGAGCTATAGCTCTGAAAAGTACCCACTCAAGTGGCAATTTTGCTTATTAATCAGGAAATAAATAATTTTGAATGACAAATACTTGCAAGATAAGTGCTTTAAAAAAAAGATGGTATTGCCTTACATCACAGTCTGATTAGAAATTTTTCAGCAAGGAGGTATGTTCTTTTTAGCAAAATAAGAATTTTCCAATTCAGTTCCAAAATTTTTTCTATGAGTTGGCCACTTAAAGCTCATAGTTTCTGATATAGAAAAATCTCTCGTTTCTGCAAATAGAAACGAGGAGAGGGAGAGAAAAGTCCACAGGGTTTCTCTTCGTTGCAAATGTAAAATGAAGTGGTTATCACTGGGGGAAAAAAACCCCAAAACAGAACTCTATAGATTGAACTTCACACTCCTAATTACATTAGTATTAAATTTACATTATTATCAAATTGTTTTCTAGCTTTTTTAAAGTAAACCAACAATTAACATTTACCAAAGGATCTCTGTGATCCTGTTAGATGTTACTCAAGAGTAACGTCTGGCTAACTGCAGAGAAGTATAAGAGCTCTCAAAAAAAAAAAAAGGAAACATGCATATAGAGAACCCCTGCCCCCAGTTATCCATATCATAGTATTACTGTAATTACTATATTACTATGTGTATTACTATATCACAAAAAATTGAGATTTTGTATTTGACAAAGCATGGCAAAGTTGTGGAGACCTTTAAAATTACACCACTTGATGAGCAAACCTGCGTTTCGTGAATATGTTGAAATACTGTCTTTTAGACCCTAAGAACACCCTTTCTTCTGTGCATGAGAGGAATATCAAGTCCAGGGCTCATCCTCTGTTGGGCAAGAACTCCACTTACTATGCGCACCATTAGAAGTTTTTGGTTTTTCTCCCCACCTCTCCCTATCTTGTGACTACCACAACACAGAGCAATCTTTTACTTCAATACTTGCTTCTCTAGATTACCTGTAGTGGTTTTTAACCAGAAAATTTCTCCTAAAAAGAATGGAAATTTTTCCAAGTTGTTACATTTCAGACTATAGATGAGCATAAGCTTTTGCATACCTGTTTCCAGATAAGTTTTAATAGAATGATACTATGAAAAAAATAAGCCTATAACACAGAGTAATCTTTAAATAAATTATCAGTCTTGGTTAAATTTAAACAGGTTAAATCTGTCTCCTCTGATTTTCCTTTAACATGCTGAACTTCTGCAATTTAGTTCTATTGGTCAAGACCACACAATGTAATATTTTTCTTATAATTTGGCTTTTTATAGTTTGACAAGCAAGGAATAGTTTACACTTCTTAGTTCTTGAGCAATAAGCTTTAGGTACTGACCCCATAATTGTGGGTGACTGCTATAGATACCGTTGCCACACAACAAACAAATTGGGACTTTACACCCACAATATAATAAATGAGTTGTAGCTGCAATAACTGGCAGGTGCTGAAGAGGATAGTTGGGAAGATATGAGAAGTAGTATTCAGTGAGTGAGCAGGAAATAACTTCCCGATTCCTTGAGCAAGTGAAAGCTACAAAGACAGCCTATGTTACTAGGCGAGAGAGTTTATTAAAATCATAAGCACTAAAAATTGGTAAGACAAAGCCTCATAAACTTGTATTTTTGGGCAAGACAAAAAAGATTAGCAACACATCATGAAAGTTACTATTTTAACACTCTACCAGCAGTATAGCATCTACATGAAGTTATTTTTAGTGCACTACTGAAATACAAAATTTTATTGTGCTGATGTGGTATGCTGAAATTTGAATAGTATGACATATTAACATTTTCAAACGTGCAGTTTCTTGTTTCCTATCTTTTCTTCCTAGTGGGATTTCCAAAAGGTGCCTAGGAAAGAAAGATGTGCAAGTTCCATATTGCAGAATAACTTGAACTACATAAATTCAGGTTATGTTCCTAAATGCTCATAGCCAAGTCTGAGGGACTACAAGCTTCGAAATTTAGGGAAATAAAAAATTAGAAAGAATGTTGACCTAAATTAACTTATCCCTTATTCACAAGGATTGTATTATGAATGCAGTATATTCCTCTACTTCCTCAACTTACTCATTAAGTTATTCTGTATTAAAATAATTCAGAGAGCTTCAGCCAGAATGGAAAGATAGAGATACTTAGTACAAAAGCTCTGAATCAGCTGGAATATCCAGATTTTCGTTTTATTCTCTTGTTTCCCTCTTCTGCTCCAGTCTCATTCAACAGAAGAAAGAACTTTCTGGCATTTTTACTTCGATTTTTTTGCCCCACCACTTCTCTGCTCTCTATGCATTTTACCCTCTACTTCAAAAATTCTTCCCCGTTTCTTTTCCATTTCTGTTTCTACCCTGTCTGTGGGGTTGGTATCCATTTTACTGCCTTATTACAGGAAGACCATGTTCTATGTTTTCTTATGAGAAGGAAAGATTGACTGTGGTTTTTGATACAAATCTTTACATCACACTTGGCAGTAAATATGCTCTAGGTCACCCAGCAGGTTTGGGTTTGAACCGTAAAATGACTCAGTGCAACATTCCAGTAAAGATTCTCCATAAATTCT